GAAAATGTGATACCTGCTAAGTACCCTTGTGCTAGCTTTTGGAAGCCGAAATTACAGTGTTACTCAGTGTGGCCTGACTGCCAGCAGGTGTCTGTGAAACCAATTGGCAATGTTTGTTTTTTCCAATCTTCATCTTCCACCAAGTCCACACAGGTGATAAAGAGACTTCAGCTGCTCCACTAATTGCTTAGCTTGAGGCTGTATAGTGCATCTAACTCTACTGCTTGCCTACATGGGAAGACCAAGAAAAAGACAGTACATTTCCATGAAGAAATCATCATATATCAGAGTTGTTTACCTATGTGCATAGTTGAATTATTATTGCATATAAAATAGTACATTAAGAGAATGTTGAGGTTGTAAATGAAACACTCAAAATGTGGGAGAAGAAGGAAGAGGGGCACAGACATTGAATCTGTCAGTTATGTTTGAGATTCCCATAAGGGAAAGCGCAGCCAGAGTTTATATTTCAAATTATGTTAGCCCTTATTGAGCATCTGTTCCCTTTGAGAGTGAACAGCACTTTGGCCGTACAGCTCGCAGATGTGGTGAGTTATGTGCAGAGTGAGCAATGTGCAAGGATCTACCTGTGGCCTTTGCTATGAGTGATATCTAGGTGTAAACCTCAGCTATCCTACGAGGACATTCCACTTCTTTAACTGTTTTATAAGACTACTGAAGCTGCAGCCAGGCATCTCCCAAGTCTTTCAACTACCAAAATGGATTATCTTTATTTAAAGGAATTTCCCAATTATATTAAGTCAGACTCCTTAGAGCTCTCTGGGGACTGTGAGGACAAGCACTGTAAGGCATTCTAATAATTTCTAAGCCACTGAACAATAATTTTTACCATACAGAGCTTGTACGACAACATGATCTTCAAAATGAGTTAAGTTACTCAGTGGAAGATATCACAGTATTCACTGCTTGGTCAGGTATTTAGACAAAGGTCACTCACCTATCTATGGGAGTCAGGCAGCTAAATACTTCCCTGTGATTTGAATGTTTACTTGAAAAGATATGCTCAAGTCTGAATTGTTCAGCATCTGTAAGCAGTTATCTTAATGTTTGCACCAATTTTCTACAAAGTTTAGGCTGAGATGTTACTTCGCCTATTCCTCCTTCACCCAGAGTGAAGGGTTAGTTTTTTGTCCAACGGCATAAAAATATACCCCAAACAAGAAAATGCTACTTGATTTAAAAAAAGAAGAAATTAAAAATCCTGGGCTCTTACATACAAGTTTATCTGTAAATGGCTTTCTTCATAATGGCTAGCTTCTTTGCCAGTTATATTAATGCAACTGTTATTAAGGAACACATCATTTAGAGAGATGACAAGGAAAAATGATAGTTGCGTTGACCATTTGGCATAAAGGTGTAGTGGTTCTTACTTTTTACTGCCATCATGTGGCCATTTTGAGTCAGGTTTTGGTCTAGTTTGGTTACTTCAGTATTTCCAAATGTTTGAAGAGAGTTTATTTTATTGCCACGAAAAGGGAAGAGCCACACTGTTTGTAGAGTCAGTGATCTTGTAAACCAAGAACATCGCAGTGGGTGTAATGAAGCCCCAGTGGACTGTCCCACCTCCCTACCACAAGCCCCTTTGAGCTGTTAGTCTGGGTTTCATAGTCCCAGAATACCAAATTGTTCCTTGCTGGAACTCTACATAAAAATTAATTTTCATTCTAATCTTCACCAGTTTTCCACGCTTTTCAAGCAATTGACAACAAGGTACTATTGAACAATTTTCCAATTACAGCTTTGGTAGAATGAGAGATGCTTCTTTTGCAGGTAATGTGTTTTGAGAAAACCCAAAAATAATATTGGAAAATTGTTCACCCTAATCTGTGAGCTGTCTATGGATTTCTGTTTCACTGACTGAAGCATATACTGCTAGGCTAGTGGTAGGGAAACACAGAATACTGTCACTTCAGCTATTAAAACCAGAATTCTGTGTTTTGTTCTGTGTTTATAACAGACTGGCTGTGCTGGGATGGTATGTGCTTTCTCTACAACTCTGACTCATGGTAAATAGGATAAAATTTTTTACCTTGCATATGCCAGCTGTTGAGTTTAGTACCAAAACTGTAGAAGTGAAAGACTAATGCTTATTCAGTCATGTCAGGTACTTAAGTAAAAAAGTATTCTCCTGCAAGTTGTTTCGGTTTTGGCTGTTACTCAGCTCACATTACCTCCCAGGCGGGTGAGAACCATCTCCTTCGCCTTTCAGTACCAGCCAAAAATAAAACATTAGGACATCAATAACTCAGCATCAGAACATCAACAAATCAAGACTAATGTTAATAAAGTCTAACATGCTAAAGTGAAAACTATGAGATTAAGCAAAATATGTGCAACGTTTACCAAAGTCTAAAAGATTTGTGTAAGTGGCAATATTTTACTGTACTTAAGATATATGGCTGATGTGATATTGTATGAATTACTATTGTGTCTTCCTTAACTATATCTACATTATTCAGCATGCTTATCATGTGCACTATTTTGACCAACTGTGTATTTATGACCATGAGTAACCCTCCGGACTGGACAAAGAATGTAGAGTAAGTTTCATACGTTATTTAAAGATATCGTTGTTGCTGTAGGAGTCAGCATGCCAGTAACTGCAGTCATGTGTGTTGGCAGGAACTATCATGAGACACTACTACTATTTCCTCTCTAAGCTGTGCAGACATGTTGAAAAACTTTTTAAATCTCCTTCTGGTAGAACGATTGGGTAGAAAAAAAAGTTGTATACAGATAGTATTCTACTGAGATTCCACTAGTTTTCTCTCATCTTCATGCTTTAGCCTGGTTTTTATCCCTCCTTTATGCCGCTGTATTAAGAGCAGAACCATGGCCATCTATTTGTACATGTCAGTTAAGGATGGCATACAACCAAAAGTACTCCTAAAGTGAGAATCCAGTGTATGCTTGCATTTGTCACCATCCCTGGAGGTCTTCAAAAAACGTTTAGATGTGGCGCTTCAAGACATGGTTTAGCGGGTTTAGCGGGCATGGTGGTATCAGGTATATGGTTGAACTTGATGATCTTGGAGGTCTCTTCCAACCATAATGATTCTATGATTCTATGATTCTTCCTTTTTTAGAGTTAATACTAGATATTTCGGATGTTAGTGATTCAGATAGTATCCACTAACTTATGCTCACAACTTTCTTGGTTAACAGTAACGGATATATTGCTGTTTACTTCTAAACTGTCACCAATAAATCTTTAATAGATGTCATTTATCTGATTTATTTATTTATTTATTTTTATTTATGCACAAGATCAGGACTGCTGTACTTCAACAAGTATATATGATGAATGTAATGCATTTTATAAGAAATTGCTTATTTACTGTATTTCTTTTCCAGTTTTGAAAAAAAAAGCTCTTTCATTTGATCATCAGGTTTCTATCAGAATACCAATGTAAAATGTTGCTACCTATTTTGATTAAATTTTCCTATATTTTCTAGGTATACATTCACTGGAATTTACACATTTGAGTCACTCATAAAAATCATTGCAAGAGGGTTTTGCTTAGAAGATTTTACTTTTCTTCGAGATCCATGGAACTGGCTTGATTTCACTGTCATTACCTTTGCGTAAGTTTTTGTTTTTTGCTTTTTCTTTGAAAGTGAAGGGCAAAAAGGGCATGAAATTAGTATCGATACATATCAAATTCATTAAATGGAAATTCTTGTATGGATTTATTTTTGTCTAAAACAATTTTCACATTCTAATATACATATTTTGATGTAAACATAAATACTGCAGAAGCCATTAGTACAGCTAGTATTAGAGAGTCTAATTTCATGTCCTGCATTTTTTTCTCTGAGCAGAAAAGGAGCACCCCTTTGACTTCATTCTCCAAACTTACCAATCTAGTCTAGATAAATTTTAGGCTTTCAAAGTTAAATCACTGCGATTCACTTCAGAGACATTTAATTTAACTGAAGGCTCTGAAAGCATATTAATGCAAGGCAAACTGCAGTGAAAGGTAAACCTCTGACTGTTGCTATTTAACTTTTTGCTAAAAACGCCAAAGCGGTCTTGAAAGACCCAAGTAAGTAGCATAAATTTTGCCTAAATTCTGAATAACTGTGATTTAATCCTACAGGTATGTAACAGAATTTGTAAACCTAGGCAATGTTTCAGCTCTTCGAACTTTCAGAGTATTGAGAGCTTTGAAAACTATTTCTGTAATCCCAGGTAAGAAGTAACTGGTGTAAGGTGTTAGGCCCCTCGTACCTCCCAACTGTTCCTTTTTATCCTGTCATTGTGTTTGTGTGTGAACTCCCCTATTACAGATATGTGACAGAGTTTGTGGACCTGGGCAATGTCTCAGCGTTGAGAACATTCAGAGTTCTCCGAGCTTTGAAAACAATATCAGTCATTCCAGGTGAGAGCTAGGTTAAACACTGAGGCTGACTTTAATTCACTGAAACAGAATTCATATTTTTTAAACATAAGTCTTATTTCTTTCCACAAAAAAAGCAGGAATCGGAAGATATTAGAATTCACTGAAATCTCCGATTCATTGCTTTTTAACATGAACTCTTTCCTTTTGAAATCAGCCTTTGAGTTTAACAGATTCTTGCATGAGACATTGCAGTACACAGTGTGTGTGGTTTGCATCGTATGATGTCAAGCTTTCTTCTCCACATTCAATGAATATCAGTAAACCTGAATTTTTCTTACCCATGTGTATCTTACCTACATGATGTTATGTGGTATTTGTTGTGAATATTTGTGTCTGAAAAATAGAACTGTTCAAAATGTTGACTTAGTAAGAAGATGAAGGAATAAGATAATAAAGAATAGCATGGGCATTGCATGGGGGATTTATTATCTTAAAATTCTATGATTTTCCAAACCATCTCCAGTTTTATAGCATTAAATTTTAATCCTATTTATTGTTGAACAGGCTTTTTACTACTGTCTTCTAAATCTAGTATGTTATAAAACTGATAGTAGCAAAGGTTTGGGGCAAGAGGTACTGACAAATAAAAATGAAGACTTTTATGTGAGATTCATGTACAGCATGAATGAAAAAAAAAGTCACTTGTTTTAGCATTAAAACAAGTGTTTTGAAATATATGCAACTCATTCCATTCCCGGTTTCAAATGAACATAAATTACAGCTATTTATTCATTTTCACAAGTGAAAAAGCTCTTCACAAAAATGTTATTTCACAGGCATTACAATCATTTCTTTGGGCTTCTGCATGAAATCTATAACTTTACTGGGAGACACTGTCATTTTTATGCATTAGAAAAGTTTTGAACATCAGAATAAAAATTCCTTTGCATTTGCAGGCTTGAAGACTATCGTGGGAGCCCTAATTCAGTCTGTGAAGAAGCTCTCGGACGTTATGATCCTGACTGTGTTTTGTCTGAGTGTATTTGCGCTAATAGGGCTGCAGCTGTTCATGGGCAACTTGAGGAACAAATGCCTGCAGTGGCCTCCAGAAAATTTTACTTTGGAAACAAATATTACTTCCCAGCTAAACAGCACCATAGGTGAAAATGGTACATTAGTTAATTCAACAGTGACTCCGTTTGACTGGAAGGGGTACATTGAAGATGAAAGTAAGTATTGTCAGCATAATTCTTATTGAAGTGATTTATGGCTGACCCAGTTCTTAGAAATAAGGAGGGGAACGGATGATACATTTAGTTAAGACAGAGCAGAAGTGTTTTCTCTCTCTCATAGATCTGCTCCAAGGGCTGGCACGGAAGAGGGAACAAGGAACATGGTCTCTCTACTTGATTCAGCTCTTTTTCTCAGCTCCTTCTGCCAAATCCACATCTTGCCCGAGACAGAAAGACGTCCAAAGGAGTTCTTAAAATTACTTAGGCCTTAAACATTTTCCATTCTGATACTCCAAAGCAAGATGAGCAACAGACTGCTATGTCATTTCTGACAGATGTCAGAGACTTCTGACTTCCAGTGAGGACTCCATCACTGGAGTCCTCAGTATTTTCACCATTTATCCACTCTTGTGCTTCACTATCCTTATTACTAGACAGGGGTTTCTTTGAGGTCTAACAAATTTTCCTGCTGCAATTTAAGCTCATGGTTCTTATCAACTTCACCACAGGCATCAAAAACAAATATTGCCTATCATTAATCACTGTCTCTGAGGTATTTAGAGACCATTCTTAAGTTGCCATGCCCTGTTCTGTCCTCTTTCAGTCTTCTTTCTGTATGCTAAGCAACCCAGATCATTAACTTTTTTCTCCTACAATTTATTTTCTAGATCTTGATCTCTCATCTGGATCCTTTCTTGTTTGTAAACATCCTTCTTAAAGTGCAGTACCCACATCTAGGCATTTCTCTTCTACATGAGGCATACAGGCAGAGAAGCAGGATTATGTGGTAGCATAGTAGCTTATACTTCTGTTTTATACATCCTAGGCTAGCACTTGCCGTTGTTTACAATTGTAACATTGTTAAATCCTGTTCAGTTTGTGGTCTACCTGCTCCTGAATCTTTTACAGACTTTTACCTCATTGAGTTTCCACTTTGTATTTGCACAGTTCGTTGCTCCAGCCTGAACAGTACCCTATTTTTTCAGACCATCTCTCCAACTGTCCTGGATCTTTTAAATTGTAATCATGTCCCCAAACTCACCACCATCCTTATCAGATCAGTATCATTTGCAAATTGGATAAGCGTTCTTCCATCATCTAGATTAGTTAAAACCTTGAATAGCAGCAATCTCAAACCAACCTCTTCAGTTGTTTTGATGCATCTTTCCATTTTGGTAATTTCACAAAGTATGATTTTCCAAAGAGCTTTGCTGCTACAGAGCAGTCTGGCAAACTGAGAATGGCTAGAGAAATACATTTCAGTACAGTTAAATGTGAGGTTACAAACCTAAGCTCCCTATCCTAAAAATCAATGCTGCACAATTGATGTTGAGACAGGTTCACATGCATAAAGACTGTAGCTGATGGCATACATCATCTTTAACAGTGAAAGTTATTTTTGTAGAAAAATAAGAACTAAAGGGGAGAGAGAGAAAAGGGAAGGGGAAAACCGACCACAGTGGCCAGCAGCGAGGAGAAATGTTGGAGTTCCCAGGCAAGTCTCCTCCCCTGGGTATCCTTTCCAGTGCAGCAGTGATCACTCCATAATACTTTTCCCATAGCAACGATGTGGTTTTCGTTAGCATCTCCTCAAACTCCCTACAAGTTTTTCCTGCTTACAGTGCTACTAGCCCTAATTGGAATGCACTTTGATCAGGGTGGGTGCTGCATGGCTGGTTGGCTTTCAAGCTCGTACATGCATGTTATTAGGTCACCTAATACAAACTGAAAGCTACAAGCAAGGAATATGAAAAAGGGGGAGAAAGAGGGGTGAATCTCACACTGGAGACAATTGTTTCGCATGGGTACCTGCTGCAACAATAATGTGTTTGCAGGTGTAGCATCATGAGAATAAAAGCAACATGAAAAACAGCATGAGAACAAAGGAAAAATGGTGCCACAGAGGCTCTGGAAAACACTGCCACAGAAGCTTATGTGAAAGATTGCAGGGCTGCAACTGAGAGGCAAGATATAGAAATGCGATTGGAAAGCCCTTAGCAATAAAGAAGTTAAGGCACTGTGGAGCAGCCAGGACTCTGACAAATTAAGGCTAAAACTCTGCAGCCAAAAAGCTAAATTGTATCCTGTTTGCATAAATAAATTATTGACCAGGAAGGCAGTATTACCCCTGTATTTAGCACTACTGCAGTTGCCACTGGAATATTAAACAAATTTCAATTTAGATAGAAAGTTGAAAAATTGGAGGATGTTCAGAAAAGAGCAGAATGATTAAAGGGTTGGAAAACATGCTTTATACCAAGATAGACCAGGAGCTCAACCTACTTAGCATATCAAAGAGAAGGTTTAAGGGGTGATTTGATCACAGTTGAGAAAAACCTCATGGGGAACAGAAATTTCATCACAGATGTATCTTTGATCTAGCAGGCAAAGATATAACAGGTTCAATAGCTGCAAGTTAAAGCCAGACAAATTTCGAATAGAAGTAAGAGAGTTTCTAACCATGATGACACAGCTGATCAATGACTATGATGGATTTCCATCTGAATTTCTTAAATCAAGATGCAATCTTTTCATGAAACTCACTTTACTTGAACATGTGAATTCATGGAGATCCCATGCCACAGGGTATGACATGTCTAAGCAAAGTCTCATAATGAAGACCTAGACAACCTAGGTCAAACTTCATTTCCTGGATTTTTAATTATTATGAAATTTAGAATGAAATTATGAGTCTTATTATGAAGTTAATAAGCTTGTCCTTGCTTACAAGCAGTTTCAAAGAGAAAAAATATTTTCTCACAGCTTCCTGCTCTCTTTTTGCAGATGGGCAGACAGGATACAGAAATGATTCTTAAACCAGCTGTGTCACAGGGCAACAAGAAGAGGCTTACCTGGACCTCAGAGCAGTGCAATAGCACTGTCTTTTCTAGCAATTATAGAAGGTTTTATGCCAGTAGTTGTGTATACTATGCAAAAAAAAGGCACGTAAACCCTAATTTTGCTACTGAGCTCATTTTTGGAAGTACCATTCAGACAGACATTATGTAAGCACTCCTGGCATTTCTTTTCCTTCTTCTTTTTCCAAGATAGCAAATCTGATAAACTTAATGCTAGATAAGTTGAAATTTATCTTGGCAAGCTTACCATAAGGAATTTTTTCTGGGAAATAATATCTCACAATCTATTTTGTAAAATAACAATTATTCTCAAACAACCATAAATTCCCTTGAAGTGCTCACCTACCAGGTATTTTTTCCCATTTCCCAATGAAATAAAGGGGAGCCAAACATATACCTTTGACGTAGTGAGGGACTTTTCACATTACTTTGGTAAAATACAATTCAGAGTTTTGCATCTAGTTAGGGAAACATGCTTACACTGCTCAGTTTGTGTTGTTATAAAAATTTTCGTATCACAGTAACATTTTGAGCATTTGTCACAGTTGTATCAGTGGACTCAGAGAAAGCCTGGGTAGCTATTATTTCCTGTGGAGCTGGCAAGTATAGCATGCTTACAGGGCACATCTTGTCTGAACAACAGAACTTGTGTACAGACCCTGTTTTAGCAGTTCAGCTGAGCTGATGCAGCACTGATCATGACTGACTGCTCCATGTAAATTATATCAAGTCCAGTTTGCGTTCTTCCCAACCAGCTGTTATGTTCCAGCATGTTTTAATCATGATTAGCTGACATAATGCAGAATAACATTTGCTTCCTGAGGGTCAGCTGTGGTCAGCATTATGTCAGCTAACTTTACCATTTACAGCTGTGTTTCAGCACAGTGCAGTTCTGCAATGTATACCAGCCCAGAACGACAGTGGCCACACACACAGGGCTGTGCACGTTCCACAGTACAGATGATCATACCCTGTAAGATGCAGATGCATCATTAGACACTGAAACTGAGTCCTTCACAGAATGTCAGAACAAGGATCTACATACAGCTTAAAAACTAACTTTTCAAAATGGTGAATTTCACTCACAGGATGGAGAAATGCAGCTGGCCGTGGTACTGTGTCCCCCCTGCAGTAAATCAATGTGCAGAGCCAGGAGCTTGTGACACCTCCTCAGCCTTGGAATTCATTAGCTTCTGTAACAACCCTGCTTGGGCAGCACAGCTACCGTCAAGTTTAAACTCAGCTGTGCTGGTAACATTTCAAATGAGATCATTTTAAGGGAATCTAACAGGCCAGTTCAGTGGAAAAGAAATCCAGTGAGAGGTTTAAATCTTCTCAGAAAGCAAGAAAGGGACCACCTTAACTCTGAAGCTGATGTACTTCAGAAGTATTGGAAACTGGGGAGGTGCTCAGGGGAGTATCACCATGTCCTTACCCTGTCCTTACAGACATCCCGAGGCAACGCTTTTGGTCTCTGTTGGAAATGGGACACTGGGCTACATGGTCTGACCCTGTATAAACAGCGTCCTTAAGCCTGTGACCAAACGGGAGATTGTTACTGCAGGAGGAAGCTCCTCCTGTGATAACCCTTCCAAAATCAAGAGCTTAGCAACTGTAGGCATCTGCTTTGAGGGGAAAAAGAAAAGCACTTCTCAAGGATGCGGTCAAAGTGTATCTTAATAAGCACAACGTTTTGCACACCATCTCTTTATTCTTCTAAGAATGGACAGGTCAATGTCTTTGTGATTTAAACCATCTAAAATGTCCTTTAAGTACAGGATTACTATGCAGATTATGGGATGGTTGGCTACAGGGCAATTTGGTGGAATTTACCCAATTTTTCTTTCCTAAGGTGATCAATAATTTCATCATATACTCCTAAAATCCTACCTACACAAGTCAGTGAGTGTTGCAGTAATTCTGTCTGAGTTGAATTTAGATGTGTATCAGGGCCTTCACACCAATGAGCAGGCTAGTTGCAGTGTGTACACACCTGTACAGCAGTGAAAGCTGTTGGCAGCTGGGTGGTTTTTTGCAGAGCTGACATATTAGATAACTGCCACAAGCGTTTGTAAGTGACAAACTGCAACTCTTGGCAATACTGATCAGAAAGTTTAAATAAATTATCAGTGTACTTTTTTCAGATAGAATTTAATTATTACAATAAAATACTGTAAAATATAAATTCACAAACTGTGATTTAGTTCAGTGACCAGACTGAAAGAAGAATTGTACACTTCCTCTACATCCATGCATTTGACAGGATTTTTAGTACATTTTGGCATTTTAACAATAACTGCTGTTATTGCTGTTATTGCTTACTGCAATTCATATTGTCATTTCCTCTGAAGTTACAGTTCTGCTGAAAAAATACTACTACTTGTTTAGAATTGCATCTGAAATCACCTTAACACTTTTAGAGCGGGACTATTTATTTCACAGAGCTGTAAGAAAACTTTCAAATTCAGAATTTTATAATTTGTTTTAAATTCTTTTCTAAACAGGTCATTTTTATTTTCTGGAAGGGCAAAACGATGCTCTGCTTTGCGGCAATAGTTCTGATGCTGGGTAAGACCAAATTCCATCATATTATTGCACTGTGTACAAATTAGATCCATGTTCTTTAGATGTGCAGTTGGAGTGGGCTATCTTTAGAGTGATCACCTTCTTTCACATAAGAAATGCTAGGACTTTACACTGGACTAAGGATTTGGGCTGCTGGTCAGAGCTAAGTGGATTGGTTAGATGAGCTTAGTCTTTGCATGAATGAATCGGTAATTCGGTATTGGTGTAGCTCTTGCCTGGATGAAGAGTCACAGACACAGCAGCTGGTAAATGTGTGTTATTTTGCAGTTTCAGCTGCACATATGAGTACTAACGAGCTCAGACAGTAGGAAACACTGGCATTGACATTAATGTTACAACATTAATAATTAAAGAAATTATTTGGAATATTATGTTTTAAAAGCTTAGATTAAACTTTTGACACTAATTTTTATATGCCTTTCCTGCTTAATTTTTCTAACGTCCTTTAAAATAACTTTCTGTTAAAAATCACATGCTATTATTTCTAGTCTGCTTAACTAAAGAAAAATCCTCTTTTCAATCCTAATCTTCTCCTGGACATTCCAGGTGATACTATTAAAATAACTATATCAGGCAACACCCAGTTTGTCTTTGTAGGCAGTGTCCAGAAGGATATACATGCGTGAAAGCTGGTAGAAACCCCAATTATGGCTACACAAGTTTTGACACCTTCAGCTGGGCTTTCTTGTCACTGTTTCGCTTGATGACTCAAGACTTCTGGGAAAACCTTTATCAATTGGTGAGAAGTTTTTAATACAAAATAGACTAAATATGTTCATACAAATAATGCAAGAGGCCTAAAATCAATTTTCTTATATTATCTTAATTTTAACCATATGAAAACCAGAACTTTTGTTAACTTATTCTTGCTTATAAATGTATTCTTATTTCCAGACACTGCGTGCTGCTGGGAAAACATACATGATATTTTTTGTTCTGGTGATTTTTCTGGGCTCTTTCTACCTGATCAACTTGATCCTGGCTGTGGTCGCCATGGCCTATGAAGAACAAAATCAAGCAACCATGGAAGAAGCAGAACAGAAAGAGGCAGAATTTCAGCAGATGCTGGAACAACTGAAGAAGCAACAAGAAGCAGCTCAGGTATAATTTATGGTGTAGTAATGCAGAAGTGTATGGAAGTAGTTTTACTAGAGATACCTACCCTCTGCTTTCTGAATTTGGAGTTACAAAACACCCTGTTGGGCTTTCAACAACAGAGTTACCTCAGAGATTTTCTGTTCTGCACTAAAGACATTGTACTGTGAACGAACCAGACATAATCAAGAAGGAATATTCAAAACTAGGTACTCATTATTCATTACGTTTTTCTTAGTCTAGTGTCATTAATACAGTCTGTTAAACTTCTGCATTTAAAAACTACCATGAAAGATGGAAGAAAGCTATGACCAACACGTACCTTAAGTCAACTGAGTAATAAAAATTAGCGAAAAAACTAGGGAGAGGATATCCTATGGAAAGTGTTAAGATCCAGGGCATTTGAACTAGTATAAGTATTTACTGATACATTCTGTATAAGTAAATTTTAAAAACCCACGATGTTGTGATTTGCTCAGTGACACAAACTCATTCTGCGACATGGTAGGCAGCAGCGGTGGCAGCAGCAGCAGTAACAGCATCCGCAGAGTCCAGGGAGCCCAGTGCTGGAGGAGAAGCAGAAGGGCTCTCAGAAAGCTCCTCAGAGGCATCAAAATTGAGCTCAAAGAGTGCAAAAGAGAGGAGAAATAGAAGGAAAAAAAGAAAACAGAAAGAACAGTCTGGAGGAGAGGAAAAAGATGAAGATGAATTTCACAAGTCTGAATCAGAAGACAGCATCAGAAGGAAAGGTTTCCGATTATCTATCGAAGGCAATAGACTGACATATGAAAAGAAGTATTCTTCTCCACATCAGGTATTGCATATAGTTATTTTTAGTAGAAGCATACATTTAAAGCATCCTAGGCTGTTACAAAACTACTTTAGTCTTCCTGGTACTGTAATGCGATCCTACTGTCTAAAGAAAGGAAACACTGAGATTTTTGTTAACTTTATTATTGTTGCTGGTGCTTCAGAGGAAGTGCTGTAGCTGCTAGATTGTCTTGTAAAAAGCCACAGAGAATTAAATGTAACCTCATACCTCTATTCTTGTAATAGGATTGTTTAAAAAAATCATATTAAAATATCCTCTGATTGATTCTGGGGGATTTTTGAGAGTGATTTATATATTTTCTAGACTTACTAAAATGCTACAGTGTTTTTCCATTATGACAGCCTCATATTTTCCTCCTGCTTCAATGATGTTTGGAGGTTGGTTCAATAGGTGCAGGATGCTGCATACATGAAAGAATGTGCATGTATGGACTCCCTTTTTTTCTTGATGGTATTGTGCAACTACTCTACTCAGCAATTCTAACTGACACTAGGAGAAAGGAGTGTTCAAAGTTGGTTTTGTCTTAAGAACCCACGAAGAATGGTGTTTCTACCTGCAAAATATATATATAATGAAATACACACAAAAATTTCACAGCAGCATTTAGCTTCTGGGAAAAATGGTTACCCTCATTTCAGAAAAAATCCCCTATGCTATCCTATTAACAATGCTAAGTTTGAAGATTTCTGCTAATAATCACAAATTTTGTTTGTCTGCAGTCTTTGCTGAGCATTCGCGGCTCCCTGTTTTCCCCAAGGCGCAATAGCAGAACAAGTCTTTTCAGCTTCAGAGGTCGAGCAAAGGATGTAGGATCAGAAAATGACTTTGCTGATGATGAGCACAGCACTTTTGAAGACAATGACAGCAGAAGAGATTCTCTCTTTGTGCCACGCAGACACGGTGAACGGCGCAACAGTAACATTAGTCAGGCCAGTAGGTCATCCAGGATGCTGGCAGTGTTTCCAGTGAACGGGAAGATGCACAGCACTGTGGATTGCAATGGGGTGGTTTCCCTCGTTGGAGGACCATCTGTTCCTACATCCCCTGTTGGACAGCTTCTGCCAGAGGTGATAATAGATAAACCAGCTACTGATGACAATGTAAGGAAGTTTTAAATAGCCTAGGCATCGTGGCCTTTTCTTACTGCACCAGCCAGTGTTTTCTACAGAACGGAACCATTGGCAATGCTTCCTGGTTGGTCAAGCTGTGAATGCTCCTGCATCTTGTAAAATCTTTAATAAGTAAAACAGCTAAGATCAGTTTGCAACCTAAGCATTTACTTACAAATATTCTCATAACTAACAAATGCAATTCGCAGTTTCCAAGTAATAAAATATTAACTTACTTACACATTCATAAACCCACTATGCTTTACTGTATTACTGTGCTATACTTTACTTTTGCTGATCTAAAGGTCCATCTGGCTATGGTCTGCAAAATCATAGTTACTATGCAATTGAAAACAGTATACAAAAATGTTATCATATAACTGAAATCAATATCATGCTTCTATTACCACTTCATCAAAATTAGCATTATTAGTTAATTTTTATAACATTCTTCCTTGTCAGCCCTGTTAAAAATGTAAGGGGCTTTATTATCATTTATTTCTCATGCATATATATTTTCCATCCGTTGCTGGTGAAGTTCTGTAGTGTAGATAACAAATAGTTCATTGGAAGATCACATTTCAATACATACTTCCAAAAATACAACTCTGTGTGAACATACATGCAGCACATATTGCTGCTGTTCCCTTACCATATACAAGGTAAGAGAAAATGTCTCAAAAAATTTTTTTGCTTAGTTCAAAGTTGTCTACTCACACTACTAAAAAAATACTAGCATGAGGAAGCATGAGAAAGTCAGACTTTTCTTACTTGCTACACTTTACCTAGGGGAAAAGACTATTATGTTACAAAACCCAGAATATTCTGTCAGCAGGAGCAAGGAAAAAAATTACAGTTTGCAAAAATTTTACACAATATTTTGAACTCAATCCTTTTCCATTTGTTTAAATAATTTTTCATAGCTTGAAGGAAAGAAATGCAAAAGTTAAGAAAATAAACTCAGTTTTGAACAGTAGGTAACTATTGCCTCATAGCTTTCTAAAATTATTTAGAGGATACTAAAAAGTAATAAAAGTCTGACATGATAAAAATTGAAGTGCACGAAGCACGTGTCCAAGCCAAGATATTAATAACAGGGTTCTATATAGTATTTGCTTATCTTATTTCTCCAACATGGTCTCACCTAGTATTGCTCTCTGTATAGGGCACCACTACAGAAACAGAAATGAGGAAGAGAATGTCAAGCTCTTTTCACGTTTCTATGGACTACCTGGAAGATCCATTGAAAGAGCCATGAGTATTGCTAGCATCCTCACAAACACTGTGGAAGGTATGTGCCACACATAGCTTAATATTTAGTACCCGTTTTTCCAATGGACTTCTGAAAATTTGAGTTCAAACTTCAAAACTGATTTAAAATAGTTTAATTAACAGATACCATCCCAGAAACCAACATATATTTACCAGTAAACTCAAAGCTCTTTGTTCATTAAGGTTATTACATAAGGATGCATTAAAGTTATTACATAAGTAAGCATTTCTGTCTCATTGTTTTATTTGATGGTCATAACTGAGTGGATGCTTATGTATATTAATTAAAAATATATTATTGGACACAGAAAAGCCACTGAACATTTTTCAAATATATGCAACCATTCTTAAAATATATATGTACTTTTAGTAGTTATATTTATTCACTTATTCTTTGAAGAAGTACTAGTCTAGGTGATAAAAATGTTTTTTTCTTGAACTAAGAATGAGAATGATATTGAAAATTTTTACCTAAACACGACAAATTTGAAAATAAAAATATTTACATAACAGAACAGTAAGTCGGAGGAACAGGCTGAAAATCAGGAACAATCAAATATATAATACAAATTGATGCATAAATTGATACTGATTGGCATAATGATTGGAATACAAAGAATTTGTGCTTGATAGTTAAGCTTTGAACAAAATAAACATATTTGATACCAATTTTTAAAGACTTTCTTGAAAAACACTGTAAAAAAGGGATTATAGAAGGTTAATCATTACCAGTAGATTGACAACTTGACTGGTACAATTCATGTAGGATTGAGGAGTGTTAGAGCAAACACATAGTTATGTGTATAAACTTTCTTTTCCCACAGAACTTGAAGAATCAAGACAGAAATGCCCCCCATGTTGGTATAAATTTGCAAATATTTTCTTGATCTGGGACTGCAGTCCACATTGGTTAAAAGTAAAACATATCGTCAATTTAGTGGTAATGGACCCATTTGTTGACCTGGCTATTACAATTTGCATTGTTTTAAATACACTCTTTATGGCTATGGAACATTATCCGATGACCGATGAATTCAATAATGTACTTTCAGTCGGAAATCTGGTAAGTCTGTTGGGTTTTTATGTTTGTGATTTGGAAGGAAGTATGTCTGAAATAACTGAAAGAAGGAGTTTTAACAGCTTTTTTTTTTTTTTAACTGTTCAGAAAGTAGATGTATTGAACATTTATTGGCCTCCAGATATGACTATCAGAACATTTTTTGACATTTCACTGTCAAACCTGGCTCATGTAACTTTGGCTACTGTAAATTCAATATATTGCAGTGTTCTGCAAAGCCAAATTAAAAATATAAAAAAATGGCATCAATGCTACATTAAGTAAAGTCCATCTTAAACACAAGTTGATTTGTCTAACTACTAAACCAGGAAATGCATTACTTCCATTAAAAAGACACTATGCAAATAAACTTAGTGTTACTTTTTCAATCAATACAATACAAATCTTTAAATTATGAATGTGTTTTTAATTGCTCTGTTTCCTGAGCACAGGTTTACAATAGCTAAAAGAGCCATTTAAAAGCATTTCTAGAATTTACTTCTGTAAATGAATTTTTATGTGGATAGTTTTCTATATATATGCTTCACATAAAACTATGAAAAATATCCTGCAGTACTTTATCCTCATAGTTTTTATATTTTTTAACATCATATAATTAGTTAAGATATCTTTTCCTCATGTTGTCAACATGTTTCTCCCTTCTACTTCAAAAAGATAAATTATTAAAGAATTCAGGACTTAATTTTTTGTAGCTCTGATGCTTTTGAACTGACAGGTTTGATCACATAGAAGTATCTGCAGCTGCAGTCCTACTTTATCTCTTATTTTAAGAATTGATTTCTTATAATGGGATTTTTAGTAATCCTTGTTTTGTAATGAGGAAAAAATATCTCAGATCATGTAAATAACTACAAGATTTAGAAGGGAGAATTAATAGATAAATGCATAGCTGGTTTTCATATACTTAAAATAAAGGAAACTATGAATAGCAGTTTCCTAGTAAAATGCAAAATCTTGTATTGTAGCATTTTATAGGTTTGTTTTCCAAGCAAGAAAGTGCCATATAAATCTTGGTGTACATTTGACTACAAAGGGAGTGCAGGAGAACCTGGCTATAAGCACCACACTCTTCCAGTGTTAAGGTCCCTGACATAAACCCCTTCTGCAATATAGAGGCTCTCAGGGTTCACCTGCTCCAGCAGTTCCACTTTAAAGCTCCTTGAGAACTTCACTGTCCTGATAGTTAGGAACCTAAGTCAGCATTTCAAACTGTATTTATGCATTCGTAACTCCTCCTCAGTGGTTCCAATCATGTAGCTTGAAAAATAGTAACTTTTCCCGCTCTGGTGTTTATATGTAATTAATGTATGGAATGTATTTAAAGACTGTAATAAAATCTGTCTTGAGCATTGGTATTCCTCGGCAGAGCCAGTCAGACTCTTCTTGTCCATCTCCTGATTACCTGAGTTAGATTATTCACTTTAGCTGTCCCACTTTCTGTTCAGCTTGCTTGAAAATGAGTTATCAAAACCAGAACAAAGCATTTCAGACCAGGGCTCAGGCAGCCTTTAACGGTGGCTTTAGTACATTCCTATCCTACAGGAAATTCTCCTAAGACTTCTATCAAAGCTACGCAGGTTCACTGGCTTGGAGGCTCTTAAATATGAGTTCTATCTTCATTCAGCATAGCATCCCATGATGAGAAGCCGTTACCAGCAATATCATGTTTAAAATGCATTCTTAAATGCTTTTTCATTCCTGACATCAAAGAGATTGAGCCAATCATCAACTTCACTGAATTTACTGGCAACACCTAGGTAGAAGTTCCTCAGCTTCAGCAAATTGTTGTATCTCAGTTGATCCCCATCTGGTATAAATAATCATATCTGTTGAACTAAATGGGATTATGGCAGGTTACACCAGCAAAGGAGCTGCCCCTCTGGGGTCTTAGATTTGGCCTCATTCATGCTGCTGTATACTGTGATCAGTATACCAAGAAAGATGTTATACCATGTAATTTCTTGGAAAGCATTCTGGTTTGTGTTGTGAAAATGATATTTGGGTTATCGTTTGTATCATACATGAGAAAGTCCATAACCTGATAGAGTTTAAATTGGATTATAAATGTTATAAAACAGAAGTTTATGTAATTGTTTAGCATAAAATTTAACTAATTGAAAAAATTACTTGGTTTGTATTGTGATTGTTAAGGGAAGGCAGGCACAATAAATCATTACAGTACACAACTGGTTTTAAGTATCAGTTTTGGATAAGACATTGCAGATACATAGCTTGACAACCTAAACAACAGCTAAATCTGTAATATTATATTTCACAATGAAATAACAAACTGAATTTTTAATTCAGGTCTTCACCGGAATCTTCACAGCAGAAATGTTTCTCAAGATAATTGCAATGGATCCTTACTATTATTTCCAGGAAGGCTGGAATATTTTTGATGGTTTTATTGTAACCCTTAGCTTGGTTGAGCTTGGTCTTGCAGATGTGGAAGGACTCTCAGTTCTTCGTTCATTCAGATTGGTAAATATACATCAATAGCTCTGATTTTTCAATGGAGCTTCATTAAAAGAATATATTTTTTTGCCTTAAAAGTTTGCCATAATGCTGATCCTGATGTCTCTCTCATTAGTACAAATCCTTATTACTTGTGGTATCTTACTGTCTTCAATGGGAATTAATAGAGATCTAGACAAATAGGTAGGAATGGGTGCCCTGGGCCTATTTTCAAGGTATTTTGTTGTATATACACACTTTAAACGTCCTGCTATGCAGAAACAAATTGACTCACTATGTGTATTGTGCTCTGATCGGCATCACAGGAATACATCTGCTCTACAAATACCAGTAGAAAAGTGTCCCAGATGATTTTAGCAGGTGAACCCTAGATTTTAAATTCCATCTGATATGACCAGTAGCTTCTTTGGCCTTTGGTAAAAACTATGCTTTGGGAATATCAAGCTCTAGCTGCAAAAATTTTGTTGACTGAACCTTCCATCCTCATGCTTTTAGACAAGAGGATACTGACTGAACAGTCATACTCAGGGCATATTTTGTAGTAATACCCAAATTAACATTAAAGGATCTTTGTATCTTTCTTGCCTGTTGTCCTAACAATATTTTTCTTCTCTTCCAGTTACGAGTTTTCAAATTGGCAAAATCTTGGCCAACACTAAATATGCTCATAAAAATTATTGGTAACTCTGTGGGAGCTCTGGGTAATCTGACCCTGGTGCTGGCCATCATTGTGTTCATTTTTGCTGTGGTTGGGATGCAGCTGTTTGGGAAAAACTACAAGGAATGTGTCTGCAAAATTGCAAGTGACTGTGTACTTCCACGCTGGCACATGCAAGATTTTTTTCACTCTTTTTTGATCGTATTTCGAGTGTTGTGTGGAGAATGGATAGAAACAATGTGGGACTGCATGGAAGTTGCTGGCCAAGCCATGTGCCTTACTGTCTTCATGATGGTCATGGTGATTGGAAACCTGGTGGTACGTAATCAAAGTGTGAGCAAAAAATTCTTTGGCAATAGAGTGGGCTCAGTTCTGAAGTGAACTAAGTGCTCTGGCTCCGCTTCAACAAAGCACTTAAGCAGGTCATTTCAAGCGATGCTTAAAGTTAGGCTTAAGAGCTTTTTTGGATTCAGAACAAAGTGTTCTGCAATATCAAAATCCTAAGAATGTTAGAGTGAGCACTTAGTCACATTCTTAATTTGTTTTTTGGCTCTTTGTAAATATTTTTTACTTCAAATAATTTTAGTTTATGAGCTCTTTATAAACCATTTGCTGTGGATTTTTTTATTATTTATCGTGTATCATTAGTCACCTAAATGATCTAATTTCTGCTGTGTGATGAGATAAATAAAACTTCTTAATGATGCTGAATAGCAAATCTGTTTATCTCCATTTTTAGATTATAAGATTTGGCACCAAAATAGTTATATACTGTGGGGGTTTAAAGACACATTTGCAGATATTAGTCAGTTGTAGGAATATTTTTTAATAGTGAACAGGACCTAAGCAGAACTTTAAAAGCTCAGGTTTTTGGAGAAGAGAGAAAGTTTTAAGGGTGCGTTTCTTTGGTTATGGTGCATTATTGGGATTTCAGTCTTTGATGTCACTAATATGACCATTTTTAGTAAAATAAATGTTCTTTCTTGAGATAAAGTCTAGAACATCCTTTTTTTATCTTTCTGCAGGTACTGAACCTATTTTTGGCCTTGCTCTTGAGCTCGTTTAGTGCAGACAACCTTGCTGTGACAGATGATGACAACGAAATGAATAATCTCCAAATTGCTGTCGCAAGAATGCAGAAGGGCATAGATTATGTGAAAAGAAAAGCACGTGAATTCATCCAAAAAGCTTTTGTTAAAAAACAAAAAGCTTTAGATGAAATCAAACCACTTGAAGATTTGAACAACAAAAATAGCTGTATTTCTAACCATACAACTGTGGAACTAAGCAAGGACCATGACTATATTAAAGATGCGAATGGAACAACTAGTGGCATAGGCACAGGTAGCAGTGTGGAAAAATACATAATTGATGAAAGTGATTACATGTCATTCATAAACAACCCAAGCCTCACTGTGACAGTGCCCATTGCTGTGGGTGAATCTGACTTTGAAAATCTGAACACAGAGGAATTTAGTAGTGAATCAGACCTGGAAGAAAGCAAAGAGGTATTTAGATATTTTGTGCATTTCTCTCTGATCTTTTAAGTATTTTTCTTTTTTCAGCATAAGCCAGTGTATTCAGTTCTTGATCATTTATTATTTTTACACTTTTGTACATGGGCATAAATGACTGTCTAAAAGAGGGTTTAATCCTTGATGAACAAAAGTGTGAGAAAGGGATAAAAATTACAGTCTCCAAGAAGAGATAAGAGGCAAGGCAATGGGAGAACAACTAATCCATAAGAACTGTTTATGGTCCATATGGTACTTGGCAACAGCTAGTAGAGCAGAGCAGTGCCTTAGCTACAGCCTTATTCCACCAGAAACTTTTGTTTGCCTCGTAACAGGGAGTTACACTCCCATGAGGAGTGTCATACATAATCTCTCTGCCACTCAAAAAATTCCTCTCTATGGGACGTCTTTTTTGAGCAAGTATAAACCAGAAAACATAGAGATAGTATAGGTATTTCCTTTAGATGCTGGAATTCTTTTAGATTTTAAAATTGTCAACTCTTCTAGACTTATATTCTGATAAAAAGAAGTTTTAATCATAGACTTTTCCATATACTTCAAATGCACTTAGTTTTCAAAACTGCAAATAATATCAACAGACAAAAATATCTCATGTTGCTAAGGGAATGCCAAAGCAGGCTATAGATATAAAGCCTTGTTGAGAACTGTATTTTTAAAAAACATATTACGGCTATAACTGTTCCTTTAACAAGATAATTTAAATCAATTTAATAACATAATTTGCAAAACAACTACACCCTCAGTGACTTAGTTTGTTGACATTTTAGTCAAGTCAGAAAATTATCTTTCCAGACACTTAAAAAAATTAATTTTCTGACTTGAGGAACCTCAACCTTAAACTAGCTAGTTTCCATTCTGGTAGCAATGCAGTTTCTTTGTAGGGTAGCTCATCTTCCCCTGTCACTGTTGTATTGTTAATAGCACTTCAGACACCTAATTTTAGGTTAGCTGAATTCTGTACTGCCGTCACTTCAGTGTGCATAAGCCCTCTAGTGTTCTCAATAAAAACCTAGTGTTAAGCTAAGTGCAATCTTTGGATCCTCCCCTGAGAAAGGAGACCTGTACAAACCAGCCTCTCCCCATGGCAACCTATTTCAGAGACAGTATTTTTCCCATTTCCCAATTAATATCTGAACTTTTCCTGTGAAATACTAGCCAAAATGTCTTATAATTTGGCTTTGACTCAAGCTTCTGAACCACTGCCACAATAGAGGTTATAGGAATGTATTTCAGCACATTATGAACTTGCCCCTGCAGGAAGAATTGCTAAATAAAACAAAATTTAAACAAAGATCCACTGGAGAAAAGCAATGATGGGTCATCTACTCTCCCCACAACTACCTTAATGTTGGCCAGTCCAGTCCAGTCTTCCAACTCATTGTACAGCAGGCAGTGAAATGGAGTGGTACAAGCTGCTTTATGACTGGCCCATGGGGAATAGATTCAGTTTAGGGAAGCCTTCTGTAAACGTGCTGCTACCCTGTGTTCGGGTTTCTGTCTGTTGTTGGGGTTTTTTGCCTCCCTCCCTTTTTTATTTAAAATAGTAGAAAGACCAGGGTTACTCTTTGTCCCGTTGAGAAAATACTATGAATTTCTGACTTCCTCCAGAAGCTTATGAAAAAGCAGTTCTGTTGTATAGTCTTCCGTGGAAAATTCCTCTAGCAGTGCTATTTTGGATTTGAGTCCAACTCCTTATTTTATATTGACTGTTGGTATAATGGGACTGTAGAAAACAACTTATAAACACCAGAAGAGCAGAGCCTTTGAATTAGCCGAGTTTTTGGTGAAAGTCCACCTAGAAAAGACTGTATGGATTCTCTACTTCTCAGGCCAGAGGGCACTAACAGGCAAGTTCCAGCTGGCTTCAGACCATATTGAGTTTTTTAGCACCATTCCTGGAGTTTTCCAGTGCTGGCCAGGATCCTTTTTTACTTATTTGGTCAGCTCTAAAAGTGGAAGGTTTCTGTGGGGGGTTTGGTTGGTTGGTTGGTTGGTTTGGTTTGTTTTTCAGCTGAGTACTCTTTCTCCCTTAGCAAAGTAACAAATTAATAATCTTAAAATTATAAATTACACTGTTAATTTCAAAAAGCTTAATTTTAGTGTGCAAAAAGTAGCTGACAATAAAATTGCAGAATATCTACTTCTTAGAAGAAAATAGAGAAATAAAATGAAAACCTTTTTCTGCAAAAATGAAAAAGCTTTGGAAAAGTTTTGAAAAGTATTTTCAGATTTATTTTGAAAAGGGGCAAGTCATACTGCAAAGGATAATTTGTGAAAATTGGATTACTAGAAGTATACAATATTTTTGTAAAAATATCAGAGAGGCAACTCTGTAATGTAATTTGGAAAAAAACCCTCTATAAATTACTTCTTGTGACAAAGAATGACAGAGCCTGAAACTGGATACATTAACTCATTTTCCTGATAAAGTTGAAACATTGTTCTCCCAATCTCTATAGTCACCACAAGATGAAATTAACTCAAGACTGGCTACTTAAAATATACAAATTTTATTAAGAGCCATACAAATCAATATCAATGAGTCCTGGAATTGTTACTGAAAAACAGACTGGCTACTGCTTTAGTAAGCCTTTTGTTGTTAGGGTTGGGGATTTTTTTGTCCTCAATATCAAAAAGCCTGCTGCAACCTAGCATTGATGAACGTATATTGCATTTATTCCATTATTTTGTTCACCTCTACATCCTTAAATATGTTTCCTTCACAATTTTTACCCAATCTTTAGCCCCGATACCAACCAGCTAGATTGCAACCAGGCCCCAGCTGCACGTCACAACACTTTCAGAACTTTTAGGATGAGGATTAGCTTAAGTGCATTCAGTTTTTTAAAATTTGGGTTCCACGTTCCACTTCTCTATATGCTCATCATGTTATTGAAAATTTGATTAGGTTATAAAACACATCCGGTGTTTTATGGGCCATCCTTAAGCTACCTCAGCCTTATTGTATGCAGCTTCTACTTCACTCTGAGCTAGACTTTCAGCAATTTTAATATGGACCCGCTGACCTCTAAAGTATAGCCTTCTCTACTGATCAGTCCTTTATTCTCTCATTCCTCTGAGCTCCCACCTCATTTACATAGTAATATTTAGACTCTTACCTGCTTCTCAATAGGCACTACAGATTCCTGCATATATATTTAAGCTTCATTATTTCTATGTGGGTCAAGAGATTATTGCCACTTATGGCTAGTTGTCATCATAAATCTTTGCAGGTTTAGCATCATCATTCATATTTTTCACTTTAAACATAATTTTGCTTAAAGTCTTATCTATCACTGATACACTTTCTATTTAACGGGTCTATACAATGCAGAAGGAAAACCAAAGATGGGACAAATTTCACATACGTTTATCAGCAATTTACTTATGCCGAATACTAGAACATTCAAAAACATAACAAAATTATTTACTTATTCTGAAAACAACTAATATTTCCCTAAAAATACTTACTGTGCATTTGTGATGCTTTTTTTTTTTCCTTTACAGGAGTTAAATTCGTCTAGTTCATCCGAAGGTAGCACAGTTGATATTGGACTTCCTGCAGAGGAGCAACCAGAAGTTGAACCTGAAGAAGCCCAGGAACCAGAGGCCTGCTTCACAGAAGGTGTTTGTAACAAAAATACTAATAATACGTATTCTTGAAATATGGAATAACTACCTATTTAAACCAAGTATTAATATTAATGTATCAAGTTTCTCTTTTATTAATGTTTAAACTATGATTATTAGTACTTTTAGACCATATTTTACCATATGGATACTGATACCACAATTATACTATATATCAGATAAACAAGAAAAAATTTTATCAGAAATTTATCATTATTTTTAAAGTAAGAAAAATACATTACTGAAAGTTTTATTTTAGTATGAGCTACAGTACTTTCTTAGTTACAGTCCCTTAGATAATTAAATAATACACTATTTTTATACCATTCTTCATAAATATCTATCAAAGTTCTTTATAAAGTATACATTACTGAAACAGCTGTTGAGTGGTGAATAAAAACTGAACCTGGCTGGTCTTGTGCAAAATGCTAAATCAATCTTCTACAAATTGGCAAAAATAGAAGGAAGAGCCTTTGTGTGCCACTTGAGGCAAGAACAATCTCACATGGTGGACTTATTCATCTTTCATACTTCCTTCTATTAGCCCTTTTACACAGCTCAATAAAAGAAGAATCTGGTCATAAACTTTATTTGCAAAGGCATATCCTTGTGAGAAACCTTATGGATGTGTGCCTGTGAAGGAGGTGGGGAAAGGAATAGGTTTAAAACAGTAATGTAAGGGTACAAATGCCATTTTTGGCGTAAGCAAAAGTTAGAGTTTGGAAAATAAATGCTACTGTCAGTGCTGGGGTTGGGTTATTTCTGGACATGACAACAGACATTTCTTTAGAAATTTACACTGAACTAGTAAGAAGTGGTATTGTAACAGACTTGGATTTGGTGAATAAAATACCATTATTGATTACTAGTATTTTTCTACCTGAATGACAGAAGAAACAAAATCAAGTCAGCAGCTAAATTATAAAAACTTAAATAAAGGGCACAAGTTAGAGAAGTTAACTGGTAGTGAAAAGCTGAGAACTCATAGAGCAGGCTTAGATTTTTTCATACAATAAATACAATATTGTCTGAATTTAGTATCCCAAGCAACAGAAAGTACAATTTAATAACACTTGCCCATAACGTACTACATAAACCTACTATACATTTGGATGAGTTTGTATATTTTTACTCATACTTTCTATTTTCTAATTACACTTCATGTTCCATGGACTTTTATCTTTTTGTGTGCACTGTATTGGGCACTTAGTTCTTGACAAATGAGAAATACTTTTTTCTCACTTGTTCATTTGACTGTAAATTCCAGTTGTCTCTGTCAATTTTTTTGCTTTGGAGAAAAAGAAGGTCATCTAGGTGAAAATCCATTGGGCTTTTACTAAACAGCACAGCTTCTAGCAAGGTAGCATTGTATCGTTAACAGAATGCATGACTAAAATTAATGCAATTCAACAAAATATCTTTTTCTTTTCCTCTCCCCCCCCCTCCCCCCCGTTTTAAAGGCTGTGTACGAAGGTTCAAGTGCTGTCAAGTAAGTATAGAAGAAGGGAGAGGAAAGCAGTGGTGGAACCTTAGAAAAACCTGCTTCAAGATTGTCGAACACAACTGGTTTGAGACTTTCATTGTCTTTATGATTCTCCTCAGTAGTGGAGCTCTGGTAAGTAAAACATGAACAGAGGGTCATAATGTTTTCACAAAACTTCTTAAAAGTTGGTTCTACAAACATTGTTTTAACTTAGTTTTCTCCACCAGAAAGAACACACAATTCCATGTCTTCAAATGACAGGACTAAATTTTAGTCAGGCCTTTGAAAGAATGGTAGAAAAAGTCTCTTCTCAATGATATGTCAAAAAAAACCCAGACATAATTGATTAGAGAGCGCTTAACTCCTTTGCTGAAAGTGATAGTGATATGCCTGTAGCAGGGAGAGGAACAACATACAAAGAAAACATATTTAACTTTGTTATTTGAGTTTTACTGGTCTTTACTGGTGTTTTACTGGTATTTTCTGATACAACTCAAGGAAAAGAACTGTCACTGATGAAAAAAGAAGAGTTTGGAAGTAACTGTAATGGCATAAACAGCTCACAATACCTTGCAAGAGCCAGAGCTGGTTTATGCAATTTTATAAATGTTATGTACTAGAACAGCAAGAAAGATTAAGACTGTGTGTTTGTAATTATTCCCTTCTAAGAATAAGAATTTATTATTTATGCTTCTAATTCAGCTTCTACTGACTCATACTCATGTAGACTAAAACATGAATTTGCTTTAAGTTTAACAAGTATATGAGGGCAGAATAAAAAGAAACCAACCATAATATAAATCTATAACAATAAAAGAAAGAAGACATACCAATAGCCTGTTATTTCACAAACACAAATAATGACAAAGAATAAAGAAATTGGAGATGAATTGTTAAAGAAAGGTGAGCCCGGATACATACTGAGCTGAAGTTTCTTAGGCAAACTACTTGACCTGAGACAACATAGAGTATATCTAGCATCTACCCTGGTAGTTGCAATTACCCTTTGGTAAATTACTTAAGTTCCTACATCATAAAAAAAAATGTGTTGCAAAATTGTATTATAAACTCTTTAGACCACTCCTAACACTTTAAAATACTGTTAATGGTCAGCAGTTTATGATTATACCTATCATTAGTTTCAGTTAAATCTTTAAGAATCACACTGCTTCTGTTTGCTCTAATATCAACCATCAAATAAGCAACTTCTACTCAACATCATGTGACACTTTCCCTGTGATTTAAAACCCTCAAAATAACAAAAGACTCGCTACTGAATTTTGGTTCATGCTACCAAGTGGAGGAAACCTTTAGTGACAAGAATTTAAATGTGAGAAAAGTACTGGCAAGAGATCTGATAAAGATGAATTTCCATCATTGTATTTAGAGGAACTTTTGGGATGAGATCCCACAATGTTAGCACCTCGCGCTTGTGAACCTAAGGGTGTGTCATCCACAGAACATTTATTTTGTGAAAAAGTTTCAGAGACCAGGGATTATTAGCCCAAGCCTCTGGAGATGTGAGACCCTGCTCTGCCTTCAACTTCCTTTGTGATAGTGAAAGGGTCTCTTTGGACCTGCCAATACTCTATCCCAATGTTCACTCCAAGGCCACACCTGCCTGCAAACCCCTGCCCTAGAGGCATTCAGGCAGGGTGCAGACACACTTCTAGCTGCCAAGAGCAATGCTAGCTTTCATACTTCCCACCTATAAGAAGGAAATTGTATGTGTTGGCTTTTCCCCGTTTTGTGAGATGAAGTTGGTAATGATTACATATGAGTAATGTATCTCATGTACCAAAGTACATATGGTACTACAGTGTCTGATCTAAGCATACAAAATTACTGATATACAGACATTAATTTGACGACTGATAGACAAACACTAATCATTTGAACTGACAGATGTAAAGTGTTTCAAAAGCAAGCTGGGTAAAAATGAATGTCAGTATCAATAAATATACAGCTCTTTGCAAGCTAGCAGATCATTTCAGTTCTGTCAATCTGATAAATCAATCGTTGTCCATAAGAAATAATAACATAATTCAAATTTAAAAGCAATTAAAGGAAAAATTTCTTGGAGGACAGGAAGAATTTCTGAAAAGCAGAAGCTATATGTTTTTTCAAATGTCTAAAAATGAAAATACACAAAAAGTATAATTAACATTGCAAGGATCTCAGAAATTTTCTCTCTCATAAAATTTGAATAATACAGTAAAGCAGTATTTGATTTAGATAATTTTTTTTTTAAGAAATGAAGAACATGTTTTATAACTTATAACTTAAAATTTTCAAAAGGCAACAGGACTTAAAATCAAAAGGTCAATTGTATTGTCATTGTCCTGAAAATTTTACAGCTATGGCCCTCAATTTTGAAAATGGATCTACCTACATACAAACCAAATTATCTCAGTAGAATTCAGTTCAGGCACACCACCACTCTGCAGAATCAATGCTATTTGTGAGTACTGAAAATGATCCGAGAAGAATTCACCATCAGCAATAAACAAATATATAAAAAAATCCATGACCAGTGGAGTCATTGCTGTTTAATATGTGCTTCTCCCTCCTGTGAACTGGAAAATGTAGTTCCATAGGGGAAAACCAGGTATATACTGAGTTGGCAGAAAAGGAAACATTAGATAAAAGTGACACTCCCATGCCTTTTCTCCTTTTCTCGAAGAAAGATTGTTTCTGGTTTTGCTGCCTTTTTTTTTTTTTTTTTTTTTTGGTTACATCCTGAGCTATGTGCAGTAACAAAAGGGAATAACAAATATCTTTGAATGTTTTTACTCACAGGCTTTTGAAGACATATATATTGAACAGCGTAAAACTATCAAGACCATGCTGGAATATGCTGACAAGGTCTTCACTTACATCTTCATTCTGGAAATGCTGCTGAAATGGGTGGCCTATGGCTATCAAACATACTTTACTAATGCCTGGTGCTGGCTGGACTTCCTGATTGTCGATGTATGTAGTGTATTTCCTAGGTGTTACTTTTATAACTCTACACTCTACAGCCATAATATCTATGTATACCAACTAGCTGACTTTTCAATTTAAAAAGTAAGGCAGATGGAAAAAAAAATCCATATTTCTCTGTCTTTCACTTTATACTTACAACACTGCCTTCCTATACCATAGACTTAAGAAAGACTTGAAGCTCTCCTGCTAACAGAAGAACCTCACATGGTAGCCCCACAAGCAGTGAAAGGGTTTATCCCAACATTGCTGTTGAAAGAGGTCATGCCGTCCTCCATTCTGCCCTTGGCTACTCACTCCCACCTTCCAACTCACCTGCCCTCCTGGTCTAAGTATCATCCGGCATTTAGATGGGTGTCTGGTCCACCAGTGATCAGACATCTGATATAAAACTCCACTGGCAAGAAAACAAACACCATGTCCACAAATTTCAGCATATGGCTGAATTAGGGTTTTACAAGGAATGCAAGATGTATCTGTAGCATTGGTGGTGTGACTTACTTAGTATTAAAGTCCAATAAATATTAGTGAACTTGCAGTCCTCACAGCCGTGTTTGAAATCAGGCTCAATAATCTTTCCTGCAAGGGTTGTTTCATAGTTATATAGACTGTGTTGTGCTGTGAAATGGGGGAGCCCATTTCTTGATGCATTAATACAATCATGCAGATTTTAAGAAGTAACATCCAAAGTATACCACCTTGAGAAAACCTCCAGTGTGCAGAAACACATACTGTTTCTGCAGGCTATGAAGTTCTATGTGTGAAACTAAACCACTATGTTTTACATAGTTATGAAACCACAACCAGTTGTTACATTTTTAGGACAGAAATTTCTGGTAAAACTTATAAGAAAAGCAAACATTAAACAAGCTTAATTTTAAAATTAAGATGCATTTTGTCCTGGTTTCAATGACTTAGAAACAGACACTGAATAGGTAAAAGGTGAACTTCAAAAGCAGTTATTGACCCAAAGGATTCCTAAAAATCCAACAGTTTCTGAATGTGTTCCCAGCATACAAGGGCTAATCAAAGCAGTTCATTTTCCTGTGCTTTGTCTTGTGCCAGGTCCCTACAACCTATTTGATTGGTGTACATCATGGATTAAATATATCTAAGATTCAAATTCACATATACAGCTACAGATAACTATGTTCAAACATGGTACTCATGCAAAGAAAGTACCCTGTCTTTGGAAAACACTTTCGTTCTTTGGTATCTAAATTCCTCTCAAAATGGGTACCTAAGTGGCAACTATAACAAGGTGTGAAGGTATAACATATATTTAAGTGTCTGAATAAGTTCATGATTAAATCCTGGATTTACACACCTGGATATTTTCTTTGCTTTAGATTATGGCAGCTTGAAAGTTTTCAGTAGTATGATGAATGTGCTGGAAAAAGAAATTCAGATTTCAGAAGGACCTAGTTTTGTACGTTGCTACAGCTCACGACTGACAAGTACAGAAAAGCCATAAACTTTCAAAAGCTGAAGATTTCACATATAATGCTTGTTTTTAAATATGGATTATAAAGAGCACTGTTCTAGACTTTTCTTTACCTGATGCATTGTTCTTTATAATAAAAGAGTACATGAGACCATGTATGTTATTTTTGGCCCAATAAATAGTTAAGGAATTAGAACAGCATAATGAAAGAGCATTTAGGGGAAATGGGAAACAAGCACAAGGTATTACTTTGGACAGGAGCCATAGTAAATGTAGAAAATATGGTATTTCTCACTGAGGTAATGTAGAGAGACAGAATCTATAAAGGCCCGTGGGGTTCTGCCACCTGTGGAACTGTTCTTACAAGGTCTTTAAGAAACAGGTTAATGTCAGCCTGTAGAGCACATAAATTCAGCAGTCGGGCAAAAAAATTAGTCAGTGTAACTGAATACAGAAAAATTAATCCTTTCTACCAATTTCCAGAGGAGCAACGTTGCTCTGTGACCCATCTGTTAATTCAAAACAGGCTTCAATCATTTCCCTTTCAGTTGTGGGCAATCAAATGGGCATTATCAACTATGATTACTGATCCCAACAGCATTGTAAAACAAAGAAAAAGTGAGAGCAATACCTAAATTGGTAAAAAGAAAAGATTAATTTAATTTGTTTTTGTGGTTTTAAATGCCCTCAAATCACTAGCAAAATATGAAATTCAGATGTATTAATGTTTCCAGATATTACTTGTTACCTTATGATACTTTTTTTTTTGTTTATTTACCTATCCTGCCCTTCTTTCATACTATGTCTTCTCTTTTTTTTATTTAAAAGACTTTCTATTCCTGAAGAAAGTGGTCCAAAATTAGATTCTTCTAAAGAAGTTTATATCTCACATCTATGGTATGTAAAGTAGCATGTACAATATAATAATTTTTACTTTCCTGTTTTCATATAGGTCTCTTTGGTTAGCTTAACAGCAAATGCATTGGGTTACTCTGAACTTGGTGCCATTAAGTCCCTTAGGACACTAAGAGCTTTGAGACCTCTAAGAGCTTTGTCACGATTTGAAGGCATGAGGGTAAGACAACATGAAAGAATCTGAAACTATGCATGCATAGAAAGAATACATGCATGCAGAATAAGGAATGACAAGTCCATGCAGAAAGGCTGCACTATCTTTTAAACTATTGCATATCTTTTACTAACAGATAAGCAAAAAGCTTCATTAATTCACCTAAATCCATATGCAGTATCACATAGAAGTTACATTCATTGAGGTTACTTTACTTTCTAGCCAATCTCAGGAGTTTTCCATATAAGGCTTTGAAATTGCCAACTATGAACTCTCTTAACAGATTCTTAATAATAAATAAAATGTAACAAAATTTTATTAATTTTTTACTGATAAACATATCACAATATTTATACAGGAATCTAATTTAGGATTAGTTAATAAAGATATTTTCTGTTACCAGTTGAAATCCTTCATTTTTCTTTATATTTGATAAACCACCTTTGGTCTAACTCCATTGAATTTTACTAGATGGTACTAGAGATATAGTCATACCCGCTAGTGGTTTAAATCTATTTCTGAGTTTGGCTGACTTTAAAAACAAATCAAGTTACTTGATTTCTCCATGAAATTATTATTTTTGTAATGTAAATGCTTTTCTTATTTCAACAAATATCTATTTAATATTCAATACAATGTATATAAGGTTATTTCTTACTTATTCTGAGTAACTTAGAGGCCCTGCTTACTATTCATCTCATGCAAGAAAGCATTTTAACTTATTTTTTCATTTGTTTATACCTTCTGTCCTTAAAGCCACTGAATACAAACTAACTCTATATGCATGTCACTGAAATATGTTTTAAGAGAACGCTTTTTGCTACTTCATGGAAATGTAAGAGGAAACAGTGCACTAATTAATTTCAAATCAATTATAAACCAGTGGAATAGCCTGGGATATACTGTCTGAACAACCTTGAGATACAAATCTAAGCTTAATCAAGTCAAATTGAGGCTTAGAATTCTGTTCCTTAAATTGTATTCATCAGGTTACACATCTCTACTTCAGAATGCATCAGAAAAAAATATTGCTAACCAATGTTTACTAGATTAATATATTTCAGTTTCATATAGCAAATTGATTTTTAACAGTTTTCTCATAATTTGAAATTCATGAATCGATATTCAGCAGGGTAAGAGCTGGTCAAGTACTACAGAATGTAAAAATTTTCATTTAAGTTTGGAATGACTATTTGATTTAGCCATTTTCTCTTTTTCTTTGTACTTACTGTTCATGAACATTCAGATAAATTTGGTTTTGTGCAGAGAAATGTCAGGAAACTGCTGTTAGCTTTACTTTTTTAATAATGTTCTGGTTAGCTGCAGGAGGACAGGGAGACCAGTATAGAAGTCACACAGGAACAAGAAACGCAGCTTTTTACATGACATTGGAAAAAACAGATCATTTCTAGAAAGATAACGTCAAAATTGATTGCCAAATGTTTTATTCCATTTTTCTGTATCCTTACACGATTGCCTTGGTAAATTTTCCACTTAAAAGATTTAGGATATTCATGCTCAAAGAAAGTACCTATTATTTGAGAAAGCAGAAAGATACTGCTTTCCCTTATTTCTCACTGAATAACTACAAAACTATGCCAGAAGCCCAATCATATGATAGAATTTCAGATACACAGCATGAATAATTCATGAGCAACTTACTGTGCAGGAATCACAGACAAGCCTGGGAAAACAAAAAGGTTTCATCTCTGTCCTCCACTATTAATCATAATCAATGAAGTACCTGATTCCAGTCACTTAGCAAATTTGACTGGCCAACTGTATAGGCCTTATCTTCACTATTAGTTACATGCACTTCTGAAAATGTTTTTTCCAAAGCACTTGGCAAGTATTCATATTGACAGATAGTAGCATTACTTCATGAATGACTCACGAACAGTAAAAAGATTCAAATAATAAATAATTGACCAGCTCATGATAAGACTATAGTCAAATTAGTCTGCTCAGAAACCAAGTTCATTTCATAAAAATCCATAAAAACAGATTCTTCTATCTGCCAACAGAAAGTAAAAATAAATCAACCCTCTTTGCTTTCTTTTATTGCCTATACCTACACTGAGCTGAGTTTTTATTGTATTTATAATTTTAATATTTCCCCTGTGTTCAAAACTGTGCAAATTTTGCCTTGAAAATATAAGAGATCATATGTATTCCACAAAAGTCTCTGTATGTAAAAAGCTCTGCATCATTTTGTAAAACAATCTGCTAAGTTCTCAGTTACTATAAATCAATCTTTTTCTTAAATAAGGTTACCATTCTGGTGAATTGGAAGAATACAGCATTTTACATAGTCAGTAAATACTAATACCTATTCCGTTATCCCTAAATATGAAACATACTTTACTTTTTAGGTTATATTCTTGTAAGTCTACAGTTATACTTTGTAGTTACAACTTAATTTTGTAATTACGCTGTTTCATAAACAGGATAAATTCTCTTTCCAAAGTGGATATAAGATATACGAACCACTCGCACCAAAATAGGGTACAATTCGTCCACAACCTGTGCTTGCCTTGAGCACAGAAGTGAATTTGGCCATGTTAAAGGCATTTAAAATATTTGCCAGTATACTGAATTCTGAGAAAATTTAATACTTTCTACAGTGAATCTCAAAACTGACTCCACCCAGATGCTGGAAGGCAAAGTAAAGAATTGCTTTAATTTAATTTAAATTTCTGTCTTAGGGTTTATATTCTCATCTCAATTAGTCTACGTACTGAGCAGAAGTATCTGTGAACTGAGATTTGAATATACCCATTGCTTTTTGTTTAGTTTTTTAGTACTTGCAATATAATGCTTTTGCACTATTTCTGAATTGGTATGCTACCTGTAAATGTAGAATACTGAGTATACATTGCTTTGCTGAGTTAGAGAATTAAGTGACAATAAAGCATGCATTTGTGTCTAATTTCACAAAATAAAGCATGTCATGCCGTGCTTGATTTATTTACTAAAGAAATAGTAGAAGGCAGCAAACAATCTGAAATCCACTTGCACTTTCAGTTTTGCATGCCTTATGCATATTTCTGGCTGATGGCTTTAAACATTTACTGTATTTCAAATTTCCAGTCCAATTTCATAATTTGTAAAACTAAATTAAAGTATTTGATGTCTTAAATATCCTCTAAAATTCAATGGCTATTCCTTAGATTCCCTTACCAGGAAAGCGATAATGAGGCATTTTCAAGAGTACTCCAAACTTCATTAGTAGGAAAGAAACATTTCTCATATGATTGAATTATAAAACATAACATCAAGTGTCTGTCATTACAGATTCACAACTAATAACAAGCTGTATATTTCTATTTCATATAGGATAACCTTTCTTCAGCTTGGATGGGGTGGACCACTGGTTCCTCCCCTTATCTGTATTATGGGTACAGTATTTCCCCCTTTTCTACCCTTAATGATTACAGTGTGACTAACCACTACATTGTGTATTTAGAGTTAGAAGGACAGACAATTTCATTTCAGAATGCCAGTAGCAGCAAAACTAGATTATATATATTCACCCTACACCTTGTTCTTAACTGCTTTAAATTTGTGGAAGTAATCATCTGAAACTTCTGATATTACAGAAATAACACGAAAACTTTTGAGAAAATCAGTATTGTTATTTAGAGTTATCTGAGTTCTTTTCACAGGAGAAAGGTACTTCAGCTATTTTTAGATTTTTAGATGCTTTTGTAACTGAAATAAAAAATAGCTTTCTTTAAAAATTTGAATCTGGCTTTTACATTGTTTTGGAAAGATCTGTGCTTTACTCTGTTACTCAACTTATAGCTACATACATTCAAAACTATCCCACAGAAACTTTTGAACCTTACTCATAATACATTAAGCACACACCAAAACACTATGATCTGAGTAGTCACAACTATGGACATTTATATAATTGCAGTTAAATTTTTTGCATGTTTTTTAAAAGCCTATATGATACATTAAGTAAATCACTCCAAGTGTATGTAGATAACTTGAGACCTCATATAACATATATAATCCTTTCTTGGAATCTGAATTCAGTCTTCTTTGGCCTGTGTTGGAAACTAGTTTTTGTAATTTTTATAAAATGACAATAACAGTATTATTTTTGTAGTACTTTTCTTGGAGTTTAGAAATGTCCTGCAAGAACATGTCACTGATATAAAAAATTTACATTCACTATCAGATCTTTAGAAAAATCTAGTTCTTAGACTACAACCCTTGCAAGCACCAGCTGTAGGAGGGTATCATTACTGCAGGGGTTTTTATAGCTTCAGTGTAAATAATGTAACAACATAAACAGCATTCACTGTAAATTTAGCATCTTATCTCACAGTTAAGAATTATGTATTCACTCTCAAGAAAGTATATTTGCTATCTTCTGCAAGCTTCTCTTAAATATAGAGGAATATACTTTATCAAAAGATCATGCAATTTGAAGGGTTTTTTGAAGGCTGTGATCTTATTCATCACCTTTGAGTTTTAAGGAAAGTCTATTGGAAGTGTTATGTCTCCTGAAAGACAACTGAAAAATTTACAAACTTCGATGTAAGAAGACTCTCTTTATAGATGTTCATAAATCATACAGGAAATATCTCAGTATTTTGAGATTTGTCTTAAGATTGTAATTCTACAGTTAGAAGAGAACTTTTGTAGGAGTTTCTTATATAATTGAAACTGATATGATTTCTGTCTGGATTTGTGTTTGTTGTATCTTGAAGAAAATCCTTACTTTTAGGATCAAAATTTGATGTCATTTGAATGAGATACATAATATGATTTACATTTTAATCAAAAAAATGTTAAAGAACACATAAAGGTCAATAACATTTCATTTATGCAACAGGAAGAGCAAAAAGGTTTTTTTTCACTGCATCTGGTGAAATTCGAAGATATTGTTCCCACATCAAATAATTACTCTATTTTCATGCTGGTGTGTATTTACAATATTTACCAGGTCTTCTCAAACAAATGCAACCATGTGATTTATTGCTTGGCAGATA